TAGCTAATTTGCAGTCTATAACATTTCTTACTTTATTTATTAGTTAGTTGATAAGGGGGTTCAAATATTTAACAAATATATTTTTAGCTTAAAAACTCCGATTTGATGCAGGTCCCCAAACTATGCATCTACCTTTTTTAATACAATTTAAACATTAGCAAATACTTTTTAGCTTAATTGCAATCTATAACATTTCTTACTTTATTTTTGAGTTAGTTGATAAGAGGGTTCAAATATTTAACAAATATATTTTTAACTTAAAAACTCCGATTTGAAGCAGGTCCCCAAACAATGCATCTAGCTTTTTTAATACAATTTAAACATTAGCAAATACTTTTTAGCTAATTTGCAATCTATGACATTTCTTACTTTATTTATTAATTAGTTGATAAGAGGGTTCAAATATTTAACAAATATATTCTTCGCTAAAATACTTCTATTAGATGCAGGTCCCCAAACTATGCATCTAAGTTTTTTAATACAATTTAAACATTAGCAAATACTTTTTAGCTTAATTGCAATCTATAACATTTCTTACTTTATTTATTAATTAGTTGATAAAAGGGTTCAAATATTTAACAAATATATTCTTCGCTTAAAACTCCGATTTGATGCAGGTCCCCAAACTATGCATCTAAGTTTTTTAATACAACTTAAACAATAGCAAATACTTTTTTACTAAATAGCAATCTATATCATTTCTTACTTTATTTATTAGTCAGTTGATGACAGCGTTTAAATGTTTATCTAAGATATTTTTAAGCTTAAAAAATCTGATTTCATGCAGGTCCCCAAACTATACATCTAAGTTTATTAATAAAATTTGAACTTTAGCAAATACTTTTTAGCTAATTTGCAGTCTATAACATTTCTTACTTTATTTATTAGTTAGTTGATAAGGGGGTTCAAATATTTAACAAATATATTTTTAGCTTAAAAACTCCGATTTGATGCAGGTCCCCAAACTATGCATCTACCTTTTTTAATACAATTTAAACATTAGCAAATACTTTTTAGCTTAATTGCAATCTATAACATTTCTTACTTTATTTTTGAGTTAGTTGATAAGAGGGTTCAAATATTTAACAAATATATTTTTAACTTAAAAACTCCGATTTGAAGCAGGTCCCCAAACAATGCATCTAGCTTTTTTAATACAATTTAAACATTAGCAAATACTTTTTAGCTAATTTGCAATCTATGACATTTCTTACTTTATTTATTAATTAGTTGATAAGAGGGTTCAAATATTTAACAAATATATTCTTCGCTAAAATACTTCTATTAGATGCAGGTCCCCAAACTATGCATCTAAGTTTTTTAATACAATTTAAACATTAGCAAATACTTTTTAGCTTAATTGCAATCTATAACATTTCTTACTTTATTTATTAATTAGTTGATAAAAGGGTTCAAATATTTAACAAATATATTCTTCGCTTAAAACTCCGATTTGATGCAGGTCCCCAAACTATGCATCTAAGTTTTTTAATACAACTTAAACAATAGCAAATACTTTTTTACTAAATAGCAATCTATATCATTTCTTACTTTATTTATTAGTCAGTTGATGACAGCGTTTAAATGTTTATCTAAGATATTTTTAAGCTTAAAAAATCTGATTTCATGCAGGTCCCCAAACTATGCATCTAAGTATATTAATAAAATTTGAACTTTAGCAAATACTTTTTAGCATAATTGCAATGTATAACATTTCTTACTTTATTTATTAATTAGATGATAAAAGGGTTCAAATATTTAACAAATATATTCTTCGCTTAAAAACTCCGATTTGATGCAGGTCCCCAAACTATGCATCTAAGTTTTTTAATACAATTTAAACAATAGCAAATACTTTTTAGCTTAATTGCAATCTATATCATTTCTTACTTTATTTATGAGTCAGTTGATGACAGGGTTTAAATGTTTATGTAAGATATTTTTAGCTGAAAAACTCTGATTTGATGCAGGTCCGCAAACTATACATCTAAGTTTATTAATAAAATTTGAACTTTAGCAAATACTTTTTAGCTAATTTGCAGTCTATAACATTTCTTACTTTATTTATTAGTTAGTTGATAAGGGGGTTCAAATATTTAACAAATATATTTTTAGCTTAAAAACTCCGATTTGATGCAGGTCCCCAAACTATGCATCTAAGTTTTTTAATACAACTTAAACAATAGCAAATACTTTTTTACTAAATAGCAATCTATATCATTTCTTACTTTATTTATTAGTCAGTTGATGACAGCGTTTAAATGTTTATCTAAGATATTTTTAAGCTTAAAAAATCTGATTTCATGCAGGTCCCCAAACTATGCATCTAAGTATATTAATAAAATTTGAACTTTAGCAAATACTTTTTAGCATAATTGCAATGTATAACATTTTTTACTTTATTTATTAATTAGATGATAAAAGGGTTCAAATATTTAACAAATATATTCTTCGCTTAAAAACTCCGATTTGATGCAGGTCCCCAAACTATGCATCTAAGTTTTTTAATACAATTTAAACAATAGCAAATACTTTTTAGCTTAATTGCAATCTATATCATTTCTTACTTTATTTATAAGTCAGTTGATGACAGGGTTTAAATGTTTATCTAAGATATTTTTAGCTGAAAAACTCTGATTTGATGAAGGTCCGCAAACTATACATCTAAGTTTATTAATAAAATTTGAACTTTAGCAAATACTTTTCAGCTAATTTGCAGTCTATAACATTTCTTACTTAATTTATTAGTTAGTTGATAAGAGGATTCAAATATTTAACAAATATATTTTAGCGATTTGATGCACTCCGATTTGATGCAGGTTCCCAAACTATGCATCTAGCATTTTTAATACAATTTAAACAATAGCAAATACTTTTTAGCTAATTTGCAATCTATAACATTTCTTACTTAATTTATTAGTTAGTTGATAAGAGGGTTCAAATATTTAACAAATATATTTTTAACTTAAAAACTCCGATTTGAAGCAGGTCCCCAAACTATGCAGCTAGCTTTTTTAATACAATTTAAACATTAGCAAATAGTTTTTAGCTAATTTGCAATCTATAACATTTCTTACTTTATTTATTAATTAGTTGATAAAAGGGTTCAAATATTTAACAAATATATTCTTCGCTTAAAAACTCCGATTTGATGCAGGTCCCCAAACTATGCATCTAAGTTTTTTAATACAATTTAAACAATAGCAAATACTTTTTTACTAAATAGCAATCTATATCACTTCTTACTTTATTTATTAGTCAGTTGATGACAGGGTTTAAATGTTTATCTAAGATATTAAATATATATATATATATATATATATATATATATATATATAATTAATATATATAAAAATAATATAAAATTAATTATTTTAATATAATTATTTTATATATAATATAAAATTAATTATTTTTATATAAAATTAATTATAAAAATAAAAAATTTTTATTTGTGTTATTTGTATTAATATTTTATATAAATTAAATTATACTTACGCTGTTGAATCTTGTATGACCATCTTTTTGATCATCTCATTTGAAGACATACCGTTTTTATCCATAATTATTAGTTTTTATTTGAATTTTAAAAACGTTTATTATTTTTCACCTTAGGCACAAATAATATGATGGTTTTTTTTAATTAGTACATATAAAAACAGATACGTTTCTATGGAAACATATTTTGTTTTTCATTTGTTTTAAATTTTTAATTCAAATGTATTTTTTATAGTAAAACTTAAGGCTGCGTTTACATTAGAAAAAAATAATGTGTAATTTGTAGCGTAATGTGTATTGTTTTTGGCATTGACAACTGTCAGGGGCAATTACACTATATATTACACAATTTTCTACTCATTATTTTTTCTGTTGTAGACGCAGCCTAAATAATTTTATTAGAATTTTTTATATAGTAAAAATTTATTACAATTTTAATATTTAAAAATATTAATAAAAAAATTAAATATTTGTGATTTTTGAAAATATAATAATTCTTGTTATTAATTTAAAAAAAAATAATTGAATATTATACTTTAAAAATAAAATAAAATTTGGAAATATGAAATAATAATTAATAATAATTGTTGATAAATTAGATTTACTGTATGTATAAATATATTTTTAAAATTTTGTTTATTATTTCAAAATTATTATGTTTTATAATTTAATTGATTGTATTTATAATAATAATAATTTTATCTGAAATATATAAAGATTTTCTATTTAATTTAATGTATTTTAAATGAAGAAATTCTTTTCAATTATTATTTATTATTCTTTTCTATTATTATTTATTATTAATGTAAATAAATAATTAATAATAATTATGTATATATATATATATATATATATATATATATATATATATATATATATATATATATATTTGTAAATGCTTAACAAAACGAAATTCTTTTGCATGAACTTTATACTCTATTTCCTTAATAGAAAATTACGCGGTATAAAAAAAGTTTTTGTAGTAGCTGAATGAGAATCTAAAATCAGATAATTAAAATTGAAAATGATGGATCAAATATCAAGAATATTTATTTCTTGTTTAAGAATGACTTTAAAATACTTTGTTTTTAAAAGAGAAATATTCATAAAAAAATTTTAATTAACCTAATTTATGGAAATTATTGAATTACTATGTTTATTATGTAAATAAATAATTAAAAAAATCTTGTTTATTGTCTTAATCATATTTAAAATTTGATTGATATCATAATAATTATATTTAATTAATGGTATTAATTATTACACGTTTTAAAGATACAATTGTATTTTATTATTATTTATATAAAATTGAATTATAGAATGGAAATATTTCAAGGAAAACAAACAAAAGTATAATAATACATTATTATTATTTGTTTGTAAGAATTATATGAACTATGTAAATGAACAAATTTAAATTAACATAATGAGAAGAAAAAATAATATAAATTAATTTTTGTCTTGCTGTTGCTATTGTAGATTCGAATTCATTTCATATTTTTTATATCAATAATAGTGATTGTTTTGAAATTAATAACACTAAACGTTGAAATTATTAGTGAAATCGGTAATTAAACAAAATACGTTTTGATGTAAAAAAAAGATGCAATACTTATTGCATCTTAAGTAAATAATCTTCTTCATGTTTCTTTTTGGATCACTATATATCCTTCGAAATTATCATCTAATGTCATCTTTTTTTCATCTAGAATTTGAATTCCTTTTGTGCTGCAAAGTTCCACATAAACGACTTTTTCTTCTTCTAAAAATGAAAATTTATTTCAATAATAAATTTTTTTTTCTATTTTGATTAAGAAATTTAAATTAAATCAATTTAATATGAAAAGTAATCTACAATCTATAAAATGTAAAATATTTATCTATAAATAATTTTTTTTTAATTAATTTTTTGTAATATCAATAAAAAATTTATAAATAATAAATAAAAAATTATAAAATTACATATAATAATTTAATTTAATTAATTATTAGAGTTATTTATTTAAATCAGTATAACGTCATTATTTTAGAACATATGTCTTATTCGAATTGTAATATCATAATTGTTTAAGTGCTGTAAGTAAAATTAAAATAATTTTATGAAAGTTTGTCTGCAATTAAAATATTATTATTTAATATATATTTTTTAATACATTTAATTTAATTTCATGTTTCATAAAATTCAAAATTATTGTGAGTGTTCACGAGAAAATATGTTTTAGCTTTCAAACTAAGAAGACTGTTTCAAATATAAATTTTACATGAGAAGGGAAAGAAGAAGCGAGAATGCATAACTATGAATAAACTGTTGACTATTGATCGTTAATAACATAAAATGTAATTGATATAAAAATTGTTTTCTTTTTGCAAGAAAAAGGGCAGCTTAAAATTTATCGATTAGCATAAAAAATGAAAATTAATTTTTTTGAGCTAAGGCACATTTTATCGTAGACTTATTTATTGTCGAAAATGAAATTTAAGGTTTTGTGTTCCAATTCATGGCAATTTCAAAGATTTTAAAGAAAATAAAAATAATTCAAGAAGAGTTAAATATGTTTTTAAAATTTAATATCAAATTTTGCTGGACACCAAAAACAATAATTTTTTCTCATTATTTTTAAAAATTAAAAATATTTTTTTGTATTTTTTATAAAATTCTTTTAAAGTTTCCTGCTTTTTGAATCTTTGTCAACTTTTATTAATTATTATTATTAATTAATTACAATAAAACAATTTATTTAAAGATAATAAAAAAAAATATTTTAATTTTGTTATTAAAATGAATTCATCATTCATCATTAAAAATTTAGTTAAAGAATTCATCATTTTATTATTATTTTAATTTAAAAATTTATGGAATTAACATTATTATGTGTTTTAAATAAATTATTAATTTACTTGTGAATTTTGCTAATCCTTCTACTCTTACATGGTCACCTTGGTTGAATTCGTCAACATCTTCCGGAAAGTTTTTGACTCTAATTTCTATCTTGAATTTCCCATTTGTAAGCGATCCTGTGCCATAATGAATAAGTTCATTATTAATTCGGTATTTCAATAATCGTATTGGTGATTTAATGTATCCTTCCACTACTGTAAATTAGTAAGAAATATTTTTTAGTATTGAATGAAAAAAATGTATAAAATTTGAAATTAATAAAAGTTGAAAATCTGAATAAATGTAATAGGTATTATAAAATTTAAATTCTTATTTTTATTTTTTAAATTAAATATAATAATTAGTTCATTTAATTAAAATATAAAGAAAAATAATTGAACTTACTTAAACGACCTTCTTCATTTTTCATATTTTCCAAATTCACAATATGAACTTCTTCTTTTTGAATCTGCGGCATTGGTCTTTCTTCTTGTAGGCAGGTAACTATAGTATTTTTTCGGATAGTGAGTTGAAAAGGTTGATTTCCTTTGTTTTGATATCCGGCTTTGATATTGCTCACTTCAGCTCCAGAGATGTTTACAATCTTAAAAAAAATTGAAAATTTGAGAGAATGCAATATTTACCTATATATGTTTAAATTTATAAATTATAAAAAAAATATATATATCATTTTTATTTTTAAAGTTTTAATTAATTATTTTTAAGAAATAAAATTCAATTATTATTCTATGTAAAAATATATTTTTTATAATTTTTGTTATTTAATTATATGTAAAAAATTAAATAATTAATAACAATAGTAGTTTACTTATTTTGTATAATGAAGAATAAAATTTATATATTATTTACATACGCTGTTTAGAATTAAGCTTTTTTCTATTCGTGGGATTTCTTCTTGCCACACGGTGATGTGTAAAATCGACCCTTGATCGTTATTAAGAGTAAAGACCATTTTTTGGAACTGCCCGTTGTTGCCGCATGTTCTCGGACTTATGATGGTGTGCACAAATCCTGTGACTTCACTGTAAAAATTATAATAATTATATAATAATATTATAAAAAATATTATTATTATCATTAATAATATTATATAATATGCAACTGTTATTATTATTAAATTTTTTAATTCGTAGGTCATAGGTTAGAGAAATCAGAGAACTCAAAGAAAAGTCAGGGAAATTAGAATTTATCAGAGAAAAGTCAGAGAATTTTATTAAAAGTATATTGAAAAATATTAAATTTATAGAGCCCATAAAAAATTTCGAATTTTTTAAGAACTATTACAATCGTCCTCATTTTCATTTTCTATTCTTAATAATTCGATGTTTTTCTGTTCTTTGGACGCAATTTTTTCTTAAAAGAAAAAATAATAATTAAATTCAAAATTTTTAAAAGTTGTAAATTATAAATTTTTTGATAAAAGTGTTATACTTGAAATTCAGAAAAAATTATATATAATAATTAATTTTTAATGCAAAGTTAAAAAAAAATTTATCATTTTTTTATATAGAACAATTATTAAATAAAAAAAATAAATCATTAGAATTAATAAAAAGCATTTTTCTTATATAAAATTTTAATATTTTGAATTAATAAATATTGTATTGAATTAATAAAATTAATAATTTTTTTAAAATTTAAATTATTTGAAAATTTTGAACATTCAAAAAGAACAATAATAAAGAATAATAAATAATATAACTGATTACTTACATTTAGTAGTTGAGAAACGAGTTATTTTTTTCTTTTACTACAAATTATTAATTTTAAAATAATAATTTTAAATATTTGTTTGCGTTGCTAAGAGGTTGTGTTAGTTTCTATATGTGAAGTTGTTTCTATATTAAAAAAAAGCGAAACGTTTAATTATTTGCATTTTGTTGGAGTTGGTGTAAAATGCGTTTTTTGTTTTTATATACTTTTTAGGCTGAGTACAGAATAAGTTACAAAATTATAAGTGGAAAGTGGCTAGGGTGTAGCGAGTGGCGTGGAATGAACAATAGTGGGGGCAACTTTTCACTTTAAGTTTAACCTTTTTCACCTCAACTTTAAGTTGAGGTTACAATTTTCTTTTTTTTGTTTAAGAGGTTACGATTTTCGAATGAAAGCACAAATCTACGCGACACTGCCCCCGATATCGTACACTCCATGCTACTCGCCACTAAATTTTTTAACCTATTCTGTATTCAGCCTTAAATTTAAATTAATTTTTTTTAATGTGTACTAGAACCAAAAGGACGCGCGTTGCGCGCCCACTTCTGGTCCTTTCCCACAACAAAAACCTTAATATAACCTTAAATTAAATCTTAATTAAATAAAAACATATGTTTATATTTTAAAAATTATTTCTCTGTTAATAAGATTGTTTAAAAGTTTTTTAATTTTTTAAATGTAAGTTTGACAAATTAAATTTTCTAAAAAAAATTACACGTTAATGCCTATAAAAAATTCTCATTCTGGAGAAAATCACCTTTAAAATAAGCATAACATCATTAAAAAGCATTCAGTATTTTAGAAGTTATTAAAATTTTTGTAAAACATTGAAAATTATCATTTTTTAAAAATGTCTAAATAAAATATTAATCAAATGACTTCTAAAAGATCTTGATCAATTCAAAATTTAAACATCTTTTAAAACTTAAAAGATACAACAATTTTAGTTTCCGTACGTGATACATTTTAAAATGTTTTTCATTCTCCTGAAAATGGGTATGGTCTCTAAATTTTAACTGGTAGTGTATATTATATTTTTATTAGAGTTTTTCTTATGTTTAATATTGAAATAATATTTATATATATATATATATATATACTACAAAACTAATTGTGTTCGTAATATGGAAATTACAAAGTAAAAACGCTACAGATATTTTCCATCAGTTTATTATATTTTTACTTATATTATGGCCAAAATAAATGAAACCGGACACTTGAAAAATTATGGCAAAACTCCAAGGATTCATTTAAAGAAAGAAAAATCAGTAACCTTCTATATTATAGAAATCGTGTAGATTTTTCTGCCAAAATACAGGCGAAAATTTTTTTATCACGTCAAGTTTTTGAAAAAAATGGGGTTGAAACCCCTAAAAACAGCGTTTTTGGCACTTTTTGAAAAATTGTGGGGCAAAATCCTGACGTGATAAAAATTTCGCTATTATCAGAAATTAAAGCTTAATTCATGCCCTTTCAAATGAGCCCTCAGCCGATTAATATCCTTCAACCCTTAAAGCAGGGGGTGTGTTTTTGTCCAGGGGTGCAAAAACTTTAAAATACATATACAAAAAAAATTATTTAAGGGATTTTTTAGGGGTTGTGAATTGAGAAAAATTTTGAAGCTATAGGTTTAAGTACACGGCTACCCCTAAAAAACCCTTAAATAATTTTCTTTGTATGTGTATTTTAAAGTTTTTGCACCCCTGGACAAAAACACACCCCCTGCTTTAAGGGTTGAAGGATATTAATCGGCTGAGGGCTCATTTGAAAGGGCATGAATTAAGCTTTAATTTCTGATAATAGCGAAATTTTTATCACGTCAGGTTTTTCTTTCACAATTTTTCAAAAAGTGCCAAAAGCGCTGTTTTTAGGGGTTTCAACCCCATTTTTTTCAAAAACTTGACGTGATGGAGCATTTTGGACTTTCGATTCGTGTCCAGGGCAAAATTTGCCTTCGGAAACACTTTGTCGCTTTCATTATCCCGAAATGATGCAGGCCTGTGTACTTAGAGTTTTGCACATCAATACATGGTAATTTAATTTTCCCAAAATATTCAGAACATTCTTGAATTTGCAATTGTTTATAAGAATTGTTAATAACAATTTTAGATTTTAATTTTTTAACAATCTTTTTATTTTATCATTAAAGTAGGTATAGACATTAAGCTTTATTTAAAAGAAATTACTTTATTATCATTATTTGTTTCAAAGTAATAATAACATGAAAATAAAATGATCCAGAACTTCAACACCAAATTACTTTAATAATAAAATTTTTTTTGAAATTGTTTCACTTATTTTGATCTCTGATAAATGATTTATTACCATTTATTAAATCAATTTTAATTAATTGTACACTATCTGCGAAAATTGTGTAAATACTACATGTTAGTGCTACACAGGAAATGAAAAGTGTTGTTTTAACCTGAATTTGTGTTAAAATAACACGCAACAAATTTTACCCTCGTAGGGTAAAAATGTAAGGGAAACTGGGGCGAAAAGTTAAATTTTGCATAAATGATTTTTTTTAGACAATATAATCCGCTTAGATGCAAATATTTATATATCAATATTGTAGGGCAACTTGTCCCCTACAACTTTCAATAAAAAAGTTTCTGATATTTTCTCATACAATACATGTTTTGTCCTTTCTTGAAAATTTTGTTTTTTTTTACTTTTCGCCCCATGCTGGGGCGAAATGTTGAATTCTATTTCTAGCCTACTAAAACTATTTTCTGATAGGTGTTAAGTAGTAGATAAGTTAAAGTATTCATAAACAAGTTATTTAGTTAATAAAAGATCTGTGTTTATTGCACAAAAGCTTTAGAACAGTTATAAAGTTAAAAAAAAAATTTTTCAAAAAAAAAAAATTTTGGTTTATTTTACGTGAACGGTCTTGTTTTTTGACAGAGTACTTCCCTAATGTCAAATAAGTCATTTTTAAACAAATAAGCCCAAAAAATCAAAAACAAAAGAAATTTAACAACATGTAAAAATACATTTACCTTTTCGCCCCACCATCTAATTTTGAACTGAAATCAAAAATTTTCTTTTTCTGTTTAAGCAACATAAACTTTTGTATAATAAAAAACTGGGTACTTGTTTAAGATTTATTAAAAAAATATTAAACCATGTAAAGTATTCCTGAAATTATATTAATTTTTTAATAAAACAAGGCAAACTCAAGGACGAGATCAAGCATTTTTTAAATGATTCTAGAAAGTTATTTAAATTTCTTTACAAGAAAAAGAATAGTTATTTTCGTATCAAGGGCGCAAAATAGGTGATTGCGACGATGGCGAAAGGAAGGGACCGAGGGGACACAATTTCGCGCCCGAGGCGAAGCCGAGGGAGCGAAAGTGTCCCCTCGGTCCCTTCCTTTCGCCATCGTCGTAATCACCTTTGCGCCCATGATGCTAACATAATTTTTTGTCCTAACTGCACGGAAAGTATGTCATTGAGGGCACGAACGATTAAACGCTTATATTAGTTAAAAATTAAACTCTCTATAAATGTTAACTCTTTGAAGTCTATAATGATACAAGTTTTAATATAGAAATAAGAAAACAATGTATTCTGGAAATATAGTAATTGCCAATTTTTATAACCTAAATGTGAACAAAACCAAATGTGTCTTAATTTTTTTTAGAGAAAATCGAAAAAAAATTGCACATTTTTCTAGAAAAAATAAAACAAGTTGAAAATGTTTGCATTTTTATAGTCAACATAAAAAGAAACTCGAAAATATCACATTTTAATGCCCGCTTCCCCTACCCCTGGGTTGTAATGAGTCACTTTGCGCCCGCTCTAAGTGCTCGAAATGACATACTTTCCGTGCAGGTAGGACAAAAAAATTATTTTATATCATTAAAAAGTAGTATTTTACACAATTTTTAAAAACTTACCTCCTTATCCTTATTTTTAATCACAAAAATTTTTTTCGTCTTATTTTTTTTAATTTTGAAAAGAGAAAAAACATGTTCTTCACTTTGGACTTTTATTTTTCTGTATTATATACTGCAAAAATGTGTTAATAAACTGTAACTACACTGTAAAAAAAGGGAGTTAAATTTTAACTCCCCAGGGGATTCTATAAAAGTCGCACCCATTGGGGAGTTAATGCCAGGGGAGTTAAATAAAGAGAGTTAAAACTTTACACCCAAATGCTAACTCCCCAAGGAAAAAATAACTCGCGCGGGTTTTGAATGAAGGGAGTTAGAAATTAACTTTCTTTTGGAGTTGATTTTTAACTCGAAAAATTTCACTCCCAACTCCCGAGTCCGTTAACTCCCTTAATTTTTTACAGTGT